GCGGGGCCACGAAGGGCATGCACATGGGGCCACAACAGGCGCGAACGAGCGGGGGCCACGAAGGGCATACGTATGTTGGGCCGCGGAGGGTAAGGACGGGGCCACTGCGGGCAGCAACGGGGACACGAAGGGCAGCGAGTGGGGCCACGAAGGGCGACAGCGGGGCCACGAAAGGCATGCATATGGGGCCACCACGGGCGCGAACGATCGGGGCCACGAAGGGCATACATATATGGGGCCACGAAACAAAGCGAGGAGGCCACGAAGGGCAGCGACGGGGCCACGAAGGGCAGCAACGGGGCCGCGAAGGGCTGCAACGGGGCCACGAAGGGCAGCGAGGGGGCCACGAAGGGCTGCAACGGTGCCACGAAACAAAGCGAGGGGGCCACGAAGGGCTGCAACGGGGCCACGAAGGGCAGCGAGGGGGCCACGAAGGGCTGCAACGGGGCCGCGAAGGGCTGCGAAAGCGAGGGGGCCACGAAGGGCTGCAACGGGGCCACGAAGGGCTGCAACGGGGCCACGAAACAAAGCGAGGGGGCCACGAAGGGCTGCAACGGGGCCACGAAACAAAGCGAGGGGGCCACGAAGGGCTGCAACGGGGCCACGAAGGGCAGCGAGATCCCGATTCCTAGGTAATCTGTGAAGGAGTCCTAAGCGTGAGCGCGACTCCTGGGTGCCTGGGTGTCGGGAGCGCGGCGCTGGAGTAAATTGCAAGAAATTCCAACGCAAGGGCGCTGTTCTTGGAGCAAATTGCAAGCAAGTCTCCAGCGAGAGCGCGACTCCAGAGCGCAGGAGGAGCGATTCTTGAATAAATCGTGAGGAAGTCTCAAGGGAAAGCGCGATTCTTGAATAAAATGCGAGGAAGTCTCGGGCGGGAGCGGGGGTCCTGGCTAAATTGTGAGGAAATCTCAGGCGGGAGCCGTTGTTGTTGTAACCCGGGGGCCAGGGGGCCAGTTTGAGCAGGAAGACTTTTTTCGACAAACAACAAAGTGCGAGCCCCGGGGGGGGGGGCACTTCACTTGAAAAAAAAAATGTGCACCGGTGGGGGGGGATCAACAATAATCATTCAAGAATGAAAGTTCAACACACGGTTGTGGGATCACGGACGAAGGGTGCCGATGTAAAAACACAAGGTTTGGGCACTCGGGGCCTCCTGTATCCTCCTGGGCCCGTCTGGGCCCGTCTGGGCCTCCTGGGGCCTCCTGGGGCCTCCTGGGGCCTCCTGGTGCTTCCTGGGGCCTCCTGGAGCTTCCCAGGGTTGGGCTCACGGGCGGCATGAATCCTCATACAACGCACATGGATTGAGCCCACGGGCAAGGGGAACCCATGTGAAAGCAAATGGTTTCAACTCAAGGGCGAACGGATCCCATTCACCAACAGATGGTTTGGGCTCACGGGCGAAAGAAACCAAAGTAACAAAACAGATGGCTTGAGCTCACAGGCAGAATCAACCCATATAAAAACACATGATTGGACGCTCATTCTGGGGGCCGTCCTGGAGAACCTCGCTCCACTCGTGCGTCGAAGCTGCGTCGAATCAGACTTGCATCGAACTGTGGTCGAACTAGAGTCGAACAGATCTGCCAGGCGGGCCCGGGGCGAACATGAATGAATGTACAAAGGTTGGTTTGCGCTGACGGGCGAAAGGAACCCATGCAAAAACAAAATGGTTGTGGCTCAAGGGCGAAAGCACCCCTTGCACAGACACATGGTTTGCGCTCACGGGCGAGAGGGGCAAACGTAGGAAAAAAACATGGTTTGAGCTCAAGAGCGAAAGGAACCAATGTAAAACACATGGTTTGCGCTCACGGGCGGACAGAGACAATAAAAACACATGGCGTGAACTACCGACACATGGTTTAGACTCACGGGCGCACGGGACCCACAAAGAAACATAAACTTGCGCCGACGGGCGTAAGGAACCCGTGTGGAGGTACCCGCGTGCGTTCACGATTACCCCTCTCGGGGGCGTTCGGAACCCACGCGGTTTCACGCTTGCGCCACCCTGTGGCGTTAGGATCCCACATCTTTTCACATGTCCAGGCCACCCAGGCACGAACGTTCAACATGTGGTCGTGGGCCCTTCGTTGGCCTGGACACGTCAAAACACGTTCTTCCAGCTTGGGGCAATGATATTCTGCACCGCCCCTAGGGTATCCAGCTCCGCGCCCCACATCGAGACAACTGTAAAAGCACATGGTTCCAGCTCGGGACAGCAATGATAGATCTCGCGTACCCCCCGACGAGGCCCTTCCCCCCACTCTGCAAAACAAGCGTTTCGCCTCAGACATCTCCAACACGATATCAAGAATAAACAATTCGCTGGGGCATCCTCAACATTTGAATCCGCCGTCCCTGATCGACCTCGTCATCTATCACAAGCAAATTCAGCCCGCCTCCGTCAGGCGAGGCGTCGGGGACAGGTCCACCCACGGCAAGAAGACCCTCGGCCCATGCAGGAACCGACCCTGTGATGTACAAGCCGTCGTGCACGACGCAGCGCCCGGTGTTGCGGGCCTTTGAAAAGTGCGACCAGCTAGACCGCGTTGACCCCAGCACACAGAGGAGACAGCGAGCCACAGAGCGCATGCGGTCTGAAGGTCTCTGGGCGAATGGACTCGGTGGCCCACGCCTGAGCCTGGGAGGCCAAGAAACCTCTGGTCCATCCAAGACCCGCCTCAGAAAGTGAACCCCCCCATAGCCGAATTATCTGGAGGGAAGGACGGAGGAAGCGAGAACCGCTCGGCGAAGAGACGGGGTGAGGTAGATGCTGATGCTTGCAACAGACTGCGCGCAAACCCTGGTGGGGCAATAGCTCCTGATGTCTGCCACTGCCCCCGTCCCTGTGCAACAGCGAGCCAAGCTCTTCTCTGCAGGCACGACGGGCGGGGTCTGGAGACGGCTTGGTCCGCTGCTGACGAGCTGCGGCCACTCGCCCCCACCACGGACCGAACGACGATCGCCTGCTTACTCGGGCGTGAGAGCAGACAGTATGGGGCTGGGGCTGCTTTCGTTCCCAAGCTCAAGCTCGAGCCGCCCTCTCTGTCAGCCAACCTTCCCCGCAACTGGACCTCGCCGACTTGACCGCACCACGTGCGAACGGTCCCGGAACGTTGTTCGGCTACGCTGACTAAATCGACCTGTGGTTGGTGTATCACCGATCTCAACCACTTTTAGCTGGCGACGCGTTTCGGACTCGAAGTCCTCTTCTGTGCCAAAAGGCTGCGGTGTCCAACGCGCGTGCCGTGCAGCGCGCGAGCAAGGCAGCAAGAGGTCAAGAGTGCGGGGGCCGGCTGCCCACCCACCCTACCTAGGCCAACTATGCCTATGCAGCAATCTGAACACGTTCTTCTGAACCCCGATCGAAAAACGTGGTCGACGAGAATCTGGGAATCCGCTGCGCAGGCCGTAACTCACCGCCCCGAGTCGCAGGCCACGGGTTCCCAAAGGGACCGAGACGCCTCGACGGCCTGCCTGTGACGACTGGCTGCAGCATCCACAGGGTGAGAAGCTCGTCGCAGACGGTCGTGGCAACATTGACAAACATATCCTCTTCCTCCTCCTCCTCAATTTTTGGTGTCCGTTCCATGGGAGCCTGCGTGGGGCCCCCGGCGCTGTCCGAATTTGGGCCTGATTTGGACCTGATTTGAAACAAATTTGGACCAGATTTGGACCAGACTTAAGCCTATTCGCGGGGGCTAAAAGAGCGAGAAGGGGGAACAGGAGGGGAGAGGAGGATCAGGAGGATGAGCCAACTGCGGCCCCTACGCGGTCCAAATGCAGGAAAAGCTGATGTCAGTGTCGCCGCCCAAAGCTCCCATGAACAGACATCGAGGCAATTGTACCGCCTCCTCATCGTTTGAATTTCGTCCTCGTGCCCCGCTCCAGGAACGCCTCGAATGATCCACGGTAGACTCGCGACTGAAACATTGTGACGGCGATGTGATCGTTGCTCCTACCGTCAACCCGTAGTGCACCGTTGTCGCCGCTCGATCCACATGTCACAACGTCCTACATACAGTTACCTCCGAGAGTACTGGGCTGACGTGGTGTCGAGGCTTTTCCGCTGGCATTGTATATTTAGATGCGTGCACGCAGTAATGAGATACGTCCAGAGAGAGAGGGAGAGAGAAAGAAAGAACACAGAGAGAGAGAGAGACAGAGAGAGGGGGAGAGAGAGCGAGAGATAAACACAGAGAGAGAGAGAGAGAGAGAACAAAACAAAAAAAAAACATGGGGGGAGGGGTAAGAGACATGAAGGCCAAGAAGTCGAGGCGGGGGGAATCTGGCGTCTGGAAAAACCATTCAGACAGAGCCTGGCACAAAGAACGATGTCAGTACGCACTTACTCGTTCAGCACAGCGCGAGCCTGACCGTCCAACCTGTGAAACACGACCGAAGAAATCCAGAAGAGCGGTAACGAGAAAGGCCACGGGGAACATCAAACACCAAGGGGCGAAACCAAACGGGGGGGATGCTCGTTCCGGGGATCTTCCTGGAGCCACTCGCTACCCCAAATGCCTCGATGCTGCGCCAAGGTCCCATCGACTTGAGACAAGCTTGAATCGAACGCGAGTCAAACATGAGTCGAGCCCGAGTCAAACTGGAGTAGACCGTTACTCGAATTAGAATTGAATAATTACGTGTTGGTGAGCAGGGAGGTCACAAGAGCGATCATCAAACGAGAATGACCGATAGAGAGAGAGAGAGAGAGAAAAAAAAAAGAGAGATAGAGAGAGAGAGAGAGAGAGCGAGGGAAAGAGAGAGAGAATACAATAACGAACAAAACACGCACACACATATTGATGGGGAAACCAAGAAATACCGAAACCGCTAATCCCCAGACCTCTCCCAGGGTACGTTCCGACCAAGATTTCGAGACGGATCCAGCGGTGGCGACGAGGGCCTCGCACGAGGCCTCAAACAGGGGAGCACGAGGGAAGGGCAGCGGTATCAGTGCCTTCCTCCTCCTCCGAATGCAGCGGTAGTGCGCGCGAGACCTTGAAGAGAACATCCAGCCTGTTCCAGAAATCCTCCACTCGCCTCTCCGGGGGCGGCGTCCCGCCAACCCGAAGGCTCGGAAACGCGCGGAAACCGGAGGCCCGTCCCCGTCCTCGTGTTCCTCCTCCTCCTCCTCGTCCTCCTCCTCCTCCTCCTCATCCTCATCGTATGTGTCTTCCTCCTCCTCCTCCTCCTCCTCCTCCTCTTCGTCCATGGGGGTCCCGTCGCGCAAGTCGGCACGATTTCTCCCAACTCTGCCTCATCACCCCGTTCGCCATCCGTCTCCCGCCGGCAGCTGCGCGATGCTGTTTACGTGCTGCAGGCTTGGCGTGAGCTGTGTGGCGCACGCCCATGAGGCGCCCACGGGCGGGCACCTGGCGCACCCACCCAGCGCACTGCAACGTAAAAGAGGGCCGAAACCACTGCACGTGGGAGTGGCGACACACGCACACACGCACGCACACACGCACTCTCACACACACAGACCACTTACACGGATGCACACGACCACACTTGTTGGCGTCGCGGCGGGGACAGGCATCGGTCAAGGAACGGCCGAACGCTCCACACACGCATTTCACACCGCCACGCCTCCCTGGGACGATTCGAGCCACGTCTGGGGAGGATATTCAACGGTGCTGGTTTGATTCGTTGGGCGACAAATTCTAAGCCGTGGTGGCTCCGCTCCAGACAAAGAAATGACGCCAGAAGCGTTGTACAAGTAAGGCCCTTCCTTCCTCATCGGGGAGGGCTTTGCCCCTCCCACTCCCCCATCCCCCTGGGTCTGGACGGGGCCCCTTGGGGCTCATTTGGGAGGCTTCTTGTGCTGCCTTGAGGTCAACTTGGAGGCCAGCGGGTAAAACGGCGGCGGCGCGGATCAGCTCCCCCCCCCTTCCCATCAGGAGGCTACACTTGGCCTACAACAGTTGGAGAAGCAATGGATTGTGTCTTCGTCGCAAAGGCATGCTTGCACGACCCCTCGCGCCCCTCCCAAGCTGCCCCCACCCAGGCAGCCCAGAAGAGGCACACAATTCACTCCAAGGCCCCCAAATAATTAGCGGATAAGAGACCCACAGGACGCCCCAAGAAGCTCCTAAGGGGCCCTCACGATACACCGCAAGAGAGCAACCTCGCTCACCGGATATATGGCCCATTGCGACTGGGGCCATGTCGCAGAGAGGCGCCGCCCAGAAGGACCGCAACCAAGAGAACCATATCTTAATAGTGAGCAGCGCATATCTGTTCAAGCAAGTTCCACAAGCATCATGGGTGGAAAGTGCCACATGTTTGGCAGACGAGCGTGCTCGACAACATGGAACATGGTGACCGTCTGGCTGCTGCCGAACATGGATGAACGGCACGGTTCACGGCGTATGAAGCTCGTCGCCTTTGATCTTGGAACCATGCAGGCGGCTTGTCCGCGAACGTAGCGAACTCCCTGTGGTTCATGAGCAGAACTGGAAGTTCGAACACCTTGCGGCATCTCAGTGTCCGAAGCAACTGCTGACATCGAACCACGACTGATCTGGGCAAACTACAGCTATGTCACCCTACTCTCCCGACCTCTCCCGGGGTGCGTTCTGACCAAGGTTTCGAACCGAATCCAGCGGTGGCGACGAGAGCCTCCGGCGGAAAAGGGGAAAACGGCCGCAGGGTAGCGGTATGGGTACCCTTTCCTCCTTTGAGTCGACATCGCACAGAGGCCAATCTCTGCACTCTGCGGCTGGTGCATCAAAGCTGCGCTGGGTGGGAAGCACAGTACAGGACCAGGAAGTCCAGGGCACGCGCGCGGCCTTCGCGAGGCGCCCCCCCACTGGCCATGAGCCCGCAACGTCGTGTCTCGTGCCGTGGGCGGCGTGCTTACTGATCTGATTACCCACCCGTCGGACGAAGTAGGTGGGAACATGAAGCAGGAAGGCTTATAACGCAGATTGGGGTCAGGCCCGTCCAGAGGAGAATAATAACAGTACGCGTGGGGTCTTGGGGTTGGAAAGCGAGTGAAGTAGATTGGGATCTGGGTTTCCAAAGATACCTACTTTCAACGACTGGCCCGTACGCCGCCGGCGGCCCGTCTGACAGCACTCGGCTGCACGCAGGAGCGACCCCAAGCAACCCTCCCGCCTTCCCGGAAGCCTCTGAAGCCTTGACCGAAGACGCCGGCTTCTTGCTCAGAAGGCGCGAGGGCTTCCCGATTAGCTGCGCTGCCTTCTGAGAAGGCCTGCCCCCACCTCGGTTCCCCCACCGGGCGCGCCGCCGAGACAACTGCTCGCCTGGCGGCGCACCCCCTTGGCCCGCGCAGGGCACCACGCCCCGCTGGACCCTCGGCAGGGGCGCACACGAGTGCCAGGAGGGGCGGAGTCCAGACGGAGTAAGCCCATGATTTGGACGCCCGAAATGGGTACCGAAAAAATGGGTACTATGCCCAACAGCAAATGTTGTCCCAAACCAACAGCGGCCGCTGTTGGGCAGGCGGCCTCCTGTCTCGAATGGACACAGGCCGCGGCGGCGTGGACAGCGAGCCCTGTTCAAACTGAACAAGATCCGCTGTTGGGCATTGTACCCATTCTTTCAAAACCCATTTCGTGCGTGCAGACATGAGGGAAACCGAAGACTCCTTGCAGACTTGCTCCGTGTGGATCTAGTCAGCACCCTACCAGGAGAGGCCAAATCCAGACAGAGTAAAGTCATACGGAGACGGAGCACTCCGTACGGACTTGCTCCGCATGGACTTATCACCCTACCCGGAGAAGCGAAGTACAGGCAGAGCAAGTCCATGCGGAGACCGAGCACTCCGTGCGGACTTACTCCCTCTGGACGCAGCTAGCACCCTACCAGGAGGGGCAAAGACAAGGCGAGGTGCAGTAGCTGCAATGGTCTGGCAACGTCGGGCCTACCGTCCAACGAACTGCCACGCGACATCTAAGGCAAGGACAAGGAACATACTCAGGACTCTTGGCCCTGCAAAGAAAACTCTAGGCGCATAGGACATTCATGGTCCGTCACCGTCTTCGCGGTGCAAACTTGTGGAAATCAAAAGCTTTGCTCTCGATATGAATAACAGCACTTACATCCCAAATCCACAGCCACTGCTGCGGACCAAGCTCCTGACTCGGAGGAATTGATATGCGTGGCTGTCCTTGTCAAGAATCCAGCCGCCTACACATGTTTCCGGTTCACAACACGTGGCTCCCCAGGCAGCAACTGCAAGACCTGCCCAAGTTCTGAAGCACTTGCGCATCGCTGGAACGTCCCAGCTGGTTTGCTAACATCTTTATCAATGTGTGCGACTGCACCCAGATGGCCGTTCATTTGAAGACACAAGCCAACGTCGGCATGCGATATCGCCCCGTCTCGGCCAGCTATAAGCTCTCTGCATAGTGGCTCCGACATATCGTCCTCCCAGGCCAAAGGCCCCGAGGTGCTGGCAATGATAGTGTTTAAGCATGTCAAATGATGAATTTGTCCGTCGCATGCTGCGCTTGATGGGATGGCCACCAGAACCAGCCGCGTTGCAGGCAGCAGTCTTGTGCCCTCTAGCTGGAGAGTCCGTTGCACGTTCGATGCTGAAAACGCTCCTGACGCATACATGGTTGAACAGGTTGGCAGCAATATGGGGCTGAGGATGACTGGCACGATTACACAGATTACTGATAGCCTGGGATACCAAGTCCATGGGGCATCATTCTGCAACTTCCTCTTTGCAAGCGAATATGCGATTGCTCCAGCAGTTGAAAGCGCCACCCCGACGGAGCCCAAAGTAGTCACAGGTTCGTGCAAAAGAACAATCGCAGACATGATAACAACCACACGCTTCATGGAGTTGAGGACACTGTGCGAAATTGGTTGCATCAGCGATAATACCCAAAACGATGACACTTGATATACCAGAAAAAACACGCAGGATTCTACAAGCATCCTGCAAATCTCAGAACTGGATACTTTACTTAGAGCATCAGCCCATGCATCGAATAATGATTGCAAACGAAACAGGGATATCAACGTAACAAACGGCAAAGATATGGCGCTGCCAAGAACTGTCAAAAGGAACAGTTGATTTGTTTTTCTAACTGTTGGATCTTCACCCAAGTCCCCAATGCGGCCATACTTTGAAGCAAGTACATTCCTCAAAGCGAAGCATACGTTCGAGGCCATGGCGCAGGCCAAGGTCGATACATCGAACCCCCATGAGTTCGCTGTCAAACACACACCAAGAACAATTGGGACGAGTGTCAGATATGTAAAAGGATTCAAGCATTCCCCCAAGAACAGTGCTGAAAAAATAGCATTGACGACAGGCTCCACGGATTTGACCACGTGTGTAAGCGATACATGTCCAAGTGTAAGAGCGGCCTGGGTTGTTATTTGGCCTGCTGCGAAAGCCATGCTTGCCGGCACCAGTGCTAGAATATCACCTCGGGACACGGACGGGGTTGGAAGAACGCCGCACCTCCAGAGACATACTGCAACCACCACTCCGAAAGCTAACTGGGCCCAAGCAATGATCACGGTCGCATGCAACGATTTCAACAGCATTTTGTTTACAATATTGTACCTCACATTCGATGCATACCATATGAAGACGTATACAACTAATAGTGGCAAAGTTCGCTTGGCGTCCATTCTCACCGAGCTTCCCACGACAAATGTCGCGAGCCAGAATTAACCAGTCACGCAAGTGTTGGACGCATCAAGAAGCGGCTGAAATGCGTGCCGTCTTGAAAATAAACAGGCTTGAGCCAAAATGGTTACGGCCCAGGAGGGACGGAGTAATATACATACGGAGACCGAGCACTCCGTATGTCGGGGGCGCGCAAACATGGATTAGCGATCCATGGATTTGGCGCGCGGTCGCCAAATCCATGGAGCGGGGGAGGTGCCTCCCCCAAAAGGCGGCCGGTGCCGCCTCGCTCGGCGGCGGAGATCTGCGATCGCCTATGGAAACGGGACCCGTCGCTAATCCACGCCCCCTTTGCTCCATGCACTCGATCGCCCGAGTATGGACCCGCTCCTCCGAGAGGGAGGGCCTGCTCGCGTCGGGCACCCCCCCGGGGGCAGGAGGCCGACGCCCCACGTGGCCCCCCCCCCCCACACACGCGTCCAGGGCCCCGGCGGCGCGGAGGGAGGGGGCGGCCGCACTCGTGCCCACAGACCCGGGGGGGTCTGCGGCCCCTGGCCTGCGGAGGGGCACGGCTCCCCCCCCCGCCGCCCAGTGCCCGCCCCGGGGGGGGGGGGGACAGGAAATCGGCGACGGCTGCGCGACTGGCAAGACCGACGGGGAGAGAGGGGGGGGGATCCCAGCACCCGCCGTGTGTCGGCGGCGAGCGAGGGGGGGGGGGGGGGCGAGAAAGGGGCGGGCCCTCTGAGAGGTATCGGAAACCCCACGGCCTTCTGACAGGTCTGCTAAGCCTTCCCGAAGACACAGCCAAGACCCCTCGGAAAGCCGGAGGACTCCTGAGACGCCCCGCCGCCTTCTGAGAGGGCCTTCTCCTTCGCGCTTCCCCCCCTCGCTCGCCGCCGAGCGTAGGAGACCCCTTCCGTGGACCCCCCACAGATGATGCAGAGCAGTGGAGGTCGTTGCGCGTCTGGCAGCACCCGCTGGGGGCCAAATCTGACTTCGTTTGCGTAGGACGCCCCTGCGCATGGCCCCGCAGGGTCGCAAGATGTTGGGGACACTTGCGCCACTCAAGAACACACAGGCGGACGAAGTCGCACTGAGTCTACGTACGGCATTCATCGGTTGAAATCCCAACGGGCCATAGCCCACGAACGACGAGCGCACGTCTCGTAACACCTCAAGGGCGACGCATCACGTGGTCCACGTGCCAACGATCAGACGCGTCCCGTTGGCCCCCCGATGGCGCAGTACGACTAGACGAACCTTCAGCGCCCGGCAACAACGGGAAGAGCAGAGGGGGTCCCGTCTAGGGTGGCGCAGGACGCAACGCCACTCCGCTGAACCCCCAGAGTCGCAGGCGAGTGAGGACAGTGTCCAGAGGCCCCTTAGATGGTGTCAGAGTAGACGGGGTCGGAAGATTGCGCCGCATCGCCAATACATCAGCGATGCATCGACGATGCATCAACGATGCATCGGCGCCGTCGGCGGCGCATCGGAGACGGTGGCGTGGGAAAACTCGGTCCCCACATCGAGCCACCTCGCCGATGCATCGGCGATGCGGCGCGACCCTCCGACCACATCTAATTTGATGGGTTCGGCACTGCCATAGGTAGGAGAGGGAGGAGGAGGAGGAGGAGGAGGAGGAGGAGGAGGAGGAGGACGAGGAGGATCTCCTCATCCTCCCTTTTCCCCCGTCATACTTACCCAACCCATGATGTAGCTGTGGTGGAAACATTGGCCCACCATCATTGCTCCAACCCCATCCGGGAGGCCTATAGACTGCCACGCCGTGCAACACACACCGAGGGGCTGCGGAATCCCGTGCGGGCCCGCGTGCGGCACACACACACACACACACAAACACACAAACACACACACACACACACACACACACACACACACACACACACACACACACACACACACACACACTCCAGCGGGGTCCCCCCCCCCTCAACGGCGCAGCGCAGCGCAGCGGCGACAGCTGGCACGCCCGGCAACAAGACACCGCGCACGCTCCTCCTCCTCCTCCTCCTCCTCCTCCTCCTCCTCCTCCTCCTCCTTCTCCTCCTAGACCGGCGCAGGAGGCTGCTCCGCTGGATCCGCAGGGGTCCAGCAGCGCAGAGGCCTCTGTCTTCCAGCGCAGCTCCAGAGATGGAGGAGGGAGGCGAAGGGAAGCTGATGCAGTATTCGGCCTGACCTGAGGAACGAAAAAAAACACGAAACCCTTTTTTTTCGAAGTAAGTCTAGAAAATCCAGAGGAACACCAGAGGGGGTCGCCGGGGCGTCCTTTGCCGGTCCCTGGGAGGCTAATTTTTTACCCCTCACAGGGATCGTGGCCCCAACGGGGGGCAAATTCGCCGGCCCAACGGGCCAGAGGCGTGCTAAGATCTCCGGTAACTGGTTAACAATAGTTCTAGTTCGCGCGCGCGGGGCGGCCCCTGGGGGTCCCCCGGCGAAAAGTACCCCGACCGAAGCCCGGGAACTATTACTCAGAGATGGTTTCCCTCCTGGGTGCGGCCTTCCACGCCCCCCGGAGCGCGCCAAGAGGGCCAACAGAGGCCCCCAAGACGGTCCAAGAGGGCCCCGAATCACCGAACGATCGGCCCAAGACGCCCAACACGGCGTCAAGACGGCCCAAGAGGCCTCCAAAACGTCCCAAAAGAGCCCCGACCCTTCCCAAGAGAGCCCCAAGAGGCAAACATCAATGATTTCTCTTAGGTTTGTGAAGGTTTTTGGCTTCCTCGCCTTTTCGCCTTTCCGACGCTCCAAGACGGCCCAAGAGGCCCCCAAGACCACCCCAAAACGGCCCAAGAGGCCCCCAAGAGAGCCCCAAGACCGCCCAAGAGGGCCCCAAGACAGCCTAAAAGGCGCCCAAGAGGGCCCCAAGAGGGGCCCAAGATGGAGACCACGAACCGAAAAGCCGAGCCTTCCGCTCCAAGATTGATTGATTGGGCAGCTGATGGCGGCAGCTGTGGCTCTGTGACTGACGACCCCAGACCTGCAGCCTGCGCTGAAAACGCTGAACGCTGCGTACATCACTGGCACGTCCAAGAGGAGGGAAGGGAGGAGGAAGAGGGGGGGGAAGACAAGGAAGAAGGGAAGAGTCGAACAACAACAACGGGAACTCTGAGCTGGAGATTCGCGGTGGCCAGCGCCACGCCCTCGTCCCACCGGGCGGCTGGTTGCCCCAGGCAGACGCGCGTGCGAGGGCGCCCCCGGTGGTGTCGGTCCCGGCGGTCTTGGAGCCAGTGGCCGTCGTGCCAGAGCACCAGTCTCGTGCTCCACTGCTGCTGGCAATGGGCCCGCTTGATATGACCGTCCCAATCTACCACTCGCTTGCACCAATCTACCACCGCTCCAAGAGGCTTCCAGGACGCCCCAAGAGGCCCCCAAGAGGCCCCAAGAGGCGCCAAGAGGCGCGAACGAGACCCCAAAAGGCTCCAAAACGGAGCCCCAAGAGGCCAGCCGCGCTCACCTCTGCTTACTTGCGAAGCAGAGGGGAGCCGCTCTCGGCGAAGTCGCTTACTTGCGCCCCCCTGCTTCTCCATCACTCCCCTCTGGCTCCTCTCTCCGCTTCACCCCCCTCGTACATTTGCCTCCTCCTCCTTCCCCCACTGAACCTGCACACTTCCTCCCCCGCCTCCTCCTTTTTCGTATCCTCCTCCTCCTGCTCCGCTTTCCCCCTCCTTTTCTCGCCAATGCACTGTCGCCCCTCTGCACTGCGACCACCCCCTGTTGCTCCCTTCCTTCCAAGCCCACGCACACTCTCTCTCTCTCTTTCTCTCTTTTCCCTCTCACGTCGAGGGGCATACCTGTCGCAACAGTTACACCGTGTTCATGGCCCCCGCATGAGCGCCCACGAGCAACAAGCCCCCACAAAGGCGCCAGGGACACCCCAGGTCGGCACAACCTAGAAGCCCCGTGGAAACAACGATTCCCCCGACACCTCAGAATGTCGACGCGAAGCTGTTTCGCGGGGGCAGCTGCAACACCACCATCCCGAACGCAACGCCTCAGAAAAAAAAACATGCGCCGACCCCTGCAGCTCCGCACTGCCGACGACCTCTCGCCCAATCGACCGCGGTGCCTTATCATGGGCCAGCGGAATGAGCGAAGCGATTCAATAAGTGTTTTCGTCTTCTTTGACCGATCTCCTCCAAGATGGCCCCAAGAGCGCTCCCAAGGCCCCCAAGAGCGCTCCCAAGACGGCTCCAAGACGGCCCCAGAGGGCCCCAAGACGGCCCAAGCGGCGGCCAATACGGCCCAAGAGGGCCCCAAGCCGGCCCCCAAAGCGCCCAAGTGGCGCCCAAGAGTGGCCCAAGAGAGCCCCAAGCGGCTCCAAGACCGCCACGACACGGCTCCAAGTGGCCGCGGAGCCTCCCGAGGACGCCCCCGAGAAGCTAAGACGGCCCAAGAGGTCCCCAAGAAGAGGGCCCCACGAAGCCACAATCATTGATGTTCCGTGGGCGTTTCAAACATTTTAGCGTTCCCGCCTTTTCGGTTTCCCGACGCTCCAAGACAGCCCAAAAGGCATGCAAGACCACCCCAAGACGGCCCAAGAGACCCCCAAGTCGGCTCCAAGATGGCCCAAGAGGGCCCAAGACGGCCCAAGCGGCGGCCAATACGGCCCAAGAGGGCCCCAAGACGGCCCCAAGAGCGCCCAAGAGGCGCCCAAGAGTGGCCCAAGAGAGCCCCAAGAAGCTCCAAGACCGCCCCAAGATGGCTCCAAGTGGCCGCGGAACCTCCCAAGGACGCCCCCGAGAGGCCAAGACGGCCCAAGAGGCCCCCCAAACGCTCCAAGAGAGCCCCGAGAAGCGCCCTAAGAGGGCCCCACGAGGCCAAAATCACATGATATTTCAAACAGTTTAGCGTGCCCGCCTTTTCGGCTGCTCGACGCTCCAAGACAGCCCAAAAGGCCCGCAAGACCGCCCCCAGACGGCCCAAGAGGCTCCCAAGACGGCTCCAAGATGGCCCAAAAGGCCCCAAGACGGCCCAAGCGGCGGCCAATACGGCCCAAGAGGGCCCCAAGACGGCCCCAAGAGCGCCCAAGAGGCGCCCAAGAGTGGCCCAAGAGAGCCCCAAGAAGCTCCAAGACCGCCCCAAGATGGCTCCAAGTGGCCGCGGAACCTCCCAAGGACGCCCCCGAGAGGCCAAGACGGCCCAAGAGGCCACCCAAACGCTCCAAGAGAGCCCCGAGAAGCGCCCTAAGAGGGCCCCACGAGGCCAAAATCAGATGTTCCCCTTAAGTATTTCAAACATTTTAGCGTTCCCGCCTTTTCGGCTTCCCGACGCTCCAAGACAACCCCAAAGGCCCGCAAGACCGCCCCAAGACGGGCCAAGAGGCTCCCAAGACGGCTCCAAGACGGCCCAAGAGGACCCCAAGACGGCCCAAGAGGCGGCCAATACGGCCCAAGAGGGCCCCAAGGCGGCCCCAAGTGGAGGCCAATACGGCCCAAGAGGGCCCCAAAACGGCCCCAAGAGCGCCCAAGAGGCGCCCAAGAGCAGCCCAAGAGAGCCCCAAGATGCTCCAAGACCGCCCCAAGATGGCTCCAAGTGGCCGCGGAACCTCCCAAGGACGCCCCCGAGAGGCCAAGACGGCCCAAGAGGCCCCCCAAACGCTCCAAGAGAGCCCCGAGAAGCGCCCTAAGAGGGCCCCACGAGGCCAAACTCACATGTTCCCCTTAAGTATTTCAAACATTTTAGCGTTCCCGCCTTTTCGGCTTCCCGACGCTCCAAGACAGCCCAAAAGGCCCGCAAGACCGCCCCAAGACGGCCCAAGAGGCTCCCAAGACGGCTCCAAGACGGCCCAAGAGGGCCCCAAGACGGCCCAAGAGGCGGCCAATACGGCCCAAGAGGGCCCCAAGGCGGCCCCAAGAGCGCCCAACAGGCGCCCAAGAGCGGCCCAAGAGGGCTCCAAGAGGCGATATTTCGGGCCCCGACGGGGGTACACCAATAAATGCTCTCTCCTTCTTTGCCCGATGGCCTCCAAGATGGCCCCAAGAGGCCTCCCAAACTCCCACACAGAGACCCGAGAGAGTTTCAAGACTCCCAAAGGAGCCCCAAGAGAGCCCCAAGAGAGCCCCAGGGCCACGATTCCCTGAGATTCCAAGAGAGCCCCAAGATCGCACGGCAACGCCAGGAGGAGGAGGAGGAGGACGAAGAGACGGAGCAACGAGGACGAGGAGAAGGAGAGGAGGATGGAAGAAAGAAGCCAAAGAGAGGGAGAAGAAAGAGAAAACACCCTACGGTCAGCGCACCTTTTTCGAGCGGCTGCTTTTGGATGGGCTGGTGGGGACTCTTTTTGTTGGTCGCGGTCGCGGGCGAGAGCGCAAACGGCGAGTCGTAAGTCCAGGGCGCGGGCCTACTAAGAGACAACAGGAGCAAACTAGAGCGCACTGGTGGGGACTCGCGAAGCGTAAACAATTCAGCTCAGCTCAGCCTCTTCGGATGCCTCAGCGGGCCTCCGGCGGAGCCCCCACCTGGGACGAGAACGACGTCCGGTGGAGCGACTGGCACACGACACACGTCGGGAACTCCGGAGGATCCAGCGGCCCTCGCTTCTGGAGCCCGTGCGGGACGATCGACCATCTGGGAACTCCTGCGACTGGCCGTGGAAGTCGTGAGGCGCCGCGCTGCCATGCCTCGTTGCTGCTCTGCCCCGAGACCAGCCTCGTGCTCCTCCTCCTCCTCCTCCTCCTCGTCCTCGTCCTCGTCCTCGTCCTCCTCCTCCTCCTCCTCCTCCTCCTCCTCCTCCTCCTCTCCGCGCGTCCGAGGCGGCGGCCAGCCCGAACATGGCGATGCCGGTGCAGGAGTGCAGCCAGAGCACCAGCGCGAAGGCCGCGCCCGCCTCCGCGGAGAGAGGTCGGCGCGCGAGGCCCGAGAGGAAGGGGGGCGGGCGGGGCTCGCCATCGCTCGGGCGTCCATTCCTGGTGCATGCTTCGGTCTCGTGCGTCCTTTGTTCTTTCACGAGGCGAGCCACGTGCGCCTCGCTTGGCCTTGCCGAGAGAGCATGCACACGCCCGAGCGATGCCAAGAGGGGGAACGCCATGCTGAGCGCCTGGAGCAAAGCGCCGACCCTGCAATGAGGCCGGCGCTGCAGCGGCAGCACCATTCGGAAGGACCGAGGATGACAAGACAGGAACAACACAGTAAGAAAGGAACATCCTCAGAAGTCCGAGGCAAGCAAGACACGTACGCGGATGGGGGCGGGCCCTGCCCCAGCCACATCCGGAGGAGGGAGGACAGTGGTGGAGGGGAGGGCGAAGGGGGGGGAGGAGCAGGGGGGAGAGCAGGAAAGGCAAGAGTACCACCACCCCCAGCTATAGGGGGGTGGCCGCTCCCTCCCCGCGAGCTGGTGGCACCTCCGTCGAGGAAACTTTTTGGAAGCATGCCCGGAACGAGGTGCCACCAGCTCCAGAGGGTGGGACCGCCACCCCCCGAACTGGCGGTAGTGGTACCTTTGCCTCCGGTGGGGAAAGGATGTCTGGGGAGGGTGGTGTTCACCAGTAGCGCGGCGTGTGCCCGCGCAGCGTGCCTCGAATGCATCCGGTCGGCCCTGGGCGAGCGAGCGGCAACTCGGCCCACTATTTGGCGCTGAATCGTGAGCACTCTCAGGATGCGCTTTAGTACGGAAGGCACGCGGGAGCTTTCTGCAACCTTCCCTGCTGCCCTGGCGACGCTGGGGCGGACACCGTGAGCAACTGAGAGGGGGGGGGAGCTGGCCCCAGAGGACCGAGAGCAGGATTAGAGAGCAGAAGATCCACCCTCATCATAAGCACCCCGACAAGAGAGCCATTTAGCAAACGCACCCAAGAAAGCAATCGAATAGGATATGGCTGCTTGGTAAACGTCCAGGGCCGTTGAGCAAACGCCAATTGTCTGGGTTGGAAGATGGGAGAGGGGGAGGGGGGGGTCAGAAACGGCATAAACATGTTTTTGTTCGGAGGTCCGCGCGGAGTTCATGGATCGGCGCTGGAACCCCCTGGCCGCGCCTCCGGCGCCGTCCCTGGCGCGCTTCGCGCGGCTGGGAGGGGGGGTCCAGCGCCGATCCAAACCTCCAACAACCATGTCCGTGCTGTGTTCTTTCGTACCCGAAACCGGTACCAATTAGGGAGGGGCGGTCACGGCCTGGGCCCTGCCTGGGAGATGCGGCTGCCAGCGCCGGCGCCGGGGGGAGGCTGCGGGAGCGGAGCCGAGGAGGGGCCGAGGAGGG